TAGTAGTAGTAGTAGTAGTAGTAGTAGTAGTAGTAGTAGTAGTAGTAGTAGTAGTAGTAGTAGCACTAGTACCACTAGTAGTAGTAGTAGTAGTAGTAGTAGTAGTAGTAGTAGTAGCAGTAAAGTGCTTGTTGTCTGGTTGTTTTGGGGGGGGTCAAAAAACAACGACAGGGTTGCAGAATTTGTTTCTACCCCCTTGTAGAGAAAAAGAAAGAAGATGTGGTGTAACGGGGTTGAAGTTTTTGTTTGTACCTTGTTGTTGTTGTTGTTGTTAGACACAAAAGCAGCTGCCCAACATAGTTGTCACATGTTGCAAGTCAGGGATTTCAAAGGGACACTGTTAGGGATAGGGTCGAAGGTTTGGAGAGATGTTAGTAGCTGGACTTCTTGTCGTTGTGGTACTCAAGTCTTGGTTGGTATGTTTCTTGTTGTTTGATGTTTTTTTGGATGTTGTTCTGGAGGGGGGGGTCAAAAAACAACAACGGGGCTGCAGATTTTGTTTCTAGGGGGGGTAGAGACACAACATCTTCTGAGGGGGAGGGTTCAAAAAAACAACAACGGGGCTGCAGTTTTTGTCTCTAGGATGTGGTAGAGGTTCTAAGTATAAGTGTTCCAGAGGCTTAGCTGACCGGACTACCACCACCACCACCACGACTACTACTACTACTGCTACTACCACTACCACTACCACTGCTACTACTACTACTACCACTACTACTACCACTACTACTTCTCCTCCTACCACTACCACTACCACTACCACCTACCACTACCACTACCACTACCACTACCACTACCACCACGACGACGACGACGACGACTACTACTACTACTACGACCACTACAACAACGACTACTACTAGTACTAGTACCACTAGTACTAGCACTAGTACAAGCACTACCGCTAATGGCAAAAGTACATGTTGGCTGGTTGTTTTCGCGGGGGAGGTCAATATAACAACGACGGGGTTGCAGATGTTGTTTCCACCCCCTTGTAGAGACAAAGGACCAAGATATCTTGTAACGGGGCTGCAGTTTTTGTTTGTACCTTGTTGTTGTTGTTGTTGTGAGTTTGCGTGCCTGATTCTTCAGGATGTGGGGGTCTGAAAAAACCGATGTTCACCGATGTGCGAGGCCTTGTGACGTATACCATTCGAAGATCCTTTTCTGTGCTTTCGGCGCTTCGTTGCATCGAGATGGGTCCCTCGACCCGTTGGGTCCCTGGCGATCGAGGATGGATTCTTCCCATCTGCAGCCATGCGGCCCAAAGAGCACTGGGGCATGCGCGCGGCTTTTTGGGCGGCAGACGAGCGTTGGGAGGAAGAGAATTTGACCGTCCCTTGTGACGTCCGTAGCGTCCCTGGTTCCTAGTAGCGATGCCCCTTCGTCACTAGTAGCGTCCCTTGTTCCTAGTACCTAGTGGTGGTTTTCAGAGATGTTCAACCTTTACTTGAGATATTTTGATCCCTCTGAGGGACGGAGCCTTCCTCCACCGTTGTTCGGAGGGAAGGCGTCGCGAAGTGGTGTGACCATGTCGTCCATACGGACGTAACAAGTAAGGCGAGGAAACCGGAGTCATCTGATCACCGAGCGCGGAGGAGTTGAAGCCGACAAAGCGAACGTGTGGAGCACCGGTAGTTCATGCAAAACAGGGCCTCAAACATCTCAAACAGTGTTTCAACGACAGCGGCTTCCCCGTAAGGTGGCAGTTTGGGAATCTCAGCACTCTAATCGTGTCACACTGACAGAGGACCCTTTCTTAGACAGATAAGCCTTTGAGGGCAAATCCCCTAGCCAAAGGAAAGCTCTGGCATTGGCGAGAAGGAATTCGCCATGAAGATCAAGATGGGAGTGGACTTTGTGGGCACTACAGGCAGTGTTTGTCACCAGAGATTGCTTGCGATCCACCCTGCTTGAATGCCACATCTGTGTGTATTATATATGTGTATTTGTTGCTTTGGATAAGCAATGATAAGCACACTACCCAGCTGTATATATATATATATATTAGATATAGTGTAGTATTAGGCTTTCAGTTTTCGACTGTACGCTGACCTCGCGAGTCACGACTGGACGCAAACCGCTGTCGGACTCCTCGCGAGAGGCAAAGCGCTTTTTCCAGCGGAGTGCTCCACTGCGAGTTTTCTGCAAAAGTACAAGTTCCCCGGCGTGAAACCCGCGCGCTTGACATGTGATTGGTGTGTTAGAAACGTGAACAGACATGTGTTGACATGGAGAGAACTTGAAAGAAAGCAATCAATTGGATTCTCGTGTATGATCGTGTATGTAAGTATATAACTTTCTTGGCATGTTTGTGTTGCGGTGTGGCCACTCAATGAAATTATAGGACAAGCTGGGACGTAGTCAAATAGAACTGCAAGGCGTTAACAGTATGTAAATTAGTATACAGAAGCATACTATGGGCTCAGATTCCCTCCGGCGGACTCCGGCAGACGTCGTAGCGTCACACGTTGACCAGCAACTGCTCTTGATGTCATCACAAAATGTCGGCAGAGGTTTGTTTGTCATTGCTTAGCTAGCTGCTGGTGTTGTCCCCACCGCTGTTACAACCAGCCACACGTGCAAGGAAAATACTGGCTATTTCAAACGCGTACACGGCGGAGATGGCATGGTGGTGCAATCGAAATCCAGACTCCTGGTTGAGACTCCTGAGGCATGTCGAAGATGTTTGAAAGCCATGATAGTTTTATTTAAGTTCTCTTCATGTTCGAAAGTGAAGCCACACGCGTATGAGCACCTTTGCAGCCATTGCCATGTTTTCCTTGGGGGGCCTTTTCTCTAAGATGGATGACTCTTGGCAACTTGATCCAAGGACTACATTGCATGGAGCCATGGCAATCTCAATGTTGACAACGTGTTCTTTTGGCGGGATGCCTCCGACAAGCTAGATTTGGGTGTGCTTGATTGGGGAGGCTCGTGGTGCCGCAGCATCCTGGGAGGTAAAGAATGAAGGACAGACTGCTTGACTCAATGTGGGGAGTCTACTGCGAATATGCGGCACCTGTGTGTCGTTATAGATATTTCTTGGCCAGGCAGTGAGCAGCATGAAGGACTACTGTATATTTATATACCCTTTTGACTATGACTTACCTACAATTGCTTGAACAGTCCATCGCTTTATCTCACTGAACTAGCGGCTAGCGGGGTCCAAGACGGATATAAGAGCCGTCTGGCCATGGAGGCTAAGATGGGGGTACTTGGCCCTGGAAGGAGATAGATCTTAGCCAGGGGGGCCGACCTGATTTTGAAGGTCAAAGGGGGCCGACCTGATCCAGACAAGAAAATTATGTTAAAAATAAAATCAGTCTGAGTCTATCTCGACTTGGATCTAAGGTTGGCTACCCCCCTTTATCAGAGGGATTTTCAAGAGAGGTTGGGTTGGACCCCCCCATTTTATTTGGAAACTGATATTGGACAGTTGTTGGACCAGAGAGAGACCATTGTGTGCAAACAGGGGGGTACAAAGGGGTACAAGGGTGACAGAGACCACTGGCTAAAATGGCAAGGGCCAACATGCAAACAGGTGTGCAGAAAAACAGGTCAGCATCCTGGAAAATAATATTCTTGCATCAACCCACCATGGTATGATTA